ATGTCATATTCATGCACTTTACTAGAAGATCATAAGCTGCAAGACAAATGAAAATTGGAAAATAAATAAACATTTTTTATTTATTTTTCTGATAAATGATGCCATAACATCTGGAAACATATACTTTCACAAATATATAAACTGAAACCCCAACACCAATAAACAAAGTGCAAATTAGAATACAAACTTGTTTACATATCACAATGAAACGTTATTTGTTCTTGATACATTTGAAAATAATATAGAAAATAATATAAAAATGGTTTGCTCTGAAATTGTTCATTTTCATTATAACACATGAACGCAGACCTGGCTGAAATGCTACTGTGATGCAACGTATCAATGATAACACTTTATGGAAGGCAGATGGGGCCAAAATCTTTTAACTGAACGGTGGAGTTTGATCGTGTCATCATGTCGCATTAACGCGACAGCATGCACAACAGCCAATAAAATTGCTGTATTTGAAACTATATTTGCATATGTGACACAATGGTACATTGGTATATATGTATACAAACATCAGACATCATGTTTATTCATGAAGGATGTTGTAATGGTAAAACATGCATGCATGCAAACATCAAATGTTATAGTATAACATGGCCAGAATGTGCATTTTGGCTGTAAAAAAAAAATGTGAATTTCGAATATTCGTCAAATTTAAAATAAAAGTCCACATTCAATTAAGGTGTGCATTAAGGAGGAAACCTTATCAGTGGCGCACAAGATGCGATGACGATGTACGTGTCGTTGCATTATAATGTTTTTGTTAGCCTATCCAGTTGAAGCCACTAGATGAGGTGCTGCTGAATTGTTAATTACAAATATTGCGGGAAAAGAAAACATCAATGCAGAGATGTTGTTTACGTCAAAACTCAAAATAAGCCGTTCACACAGAGCACATATTTTGCGCATTTTCTAGAGGGACATCTATCACCGTTGCACTCGCGTCTCGCACAAAAGAGCAAAAGAATGTAAAATGAATGTTCAACTTTGAAAAAGCATATCTCAAGACTTTATGGCGGGGTTTTTTCCCCATCCCACTGCAACCCGTGTTTTTAAATGAAAAATGTACTCTATGTTATTGGCTTTCGGCCCTTTGTATTAAATTATGCATACATACATGATGCTGTTTTTTTATAGTTGTTTAAGCAACTTAATTATAATCGGTTTATTAATGCATTGATAAAAGTGCCCTTTTTCACTGAAGTGTTCATAAAAAGTCACACCGTGGCCATTTTCTGAAAAGCTTAAGAGTGAAAAAAAACATTCAAAATCCTGTGACTTTACTTGACAATGTATGATCTGAATGAACACCATTCTGTAAGTCTATGAATACAAGTTGATGATCTCTTTATATTTGTTTATTATAAATACTTTATCAATTAAACCTTTTACTGATATTTCATTGTGGAAGCTTGTAGACAGGCATGTCATATTCATGCACTTTACTAGAAGATCATAAGCTGCAAGACAAATGAAAATTGGAAAATAAATAAACATTTTTTATTTATTTTTCTGATAAATGATGCCATAACATCTGGAAACATATACTTTCACAAATATATAAACTGAAACCCCAACACCAATAAACAAAGTGCAAATTAGAATACAAACTTGTTTACATATCACAATGAAACGTTATTTGTTCTTGATACATTTGAAAATAATATAGAAAATAATATAAAAATGGTTTGCTCTGAAATTGTTCATTTTCATTATAACACATGAACGCAGACCTGGCTGAAATGCTACTGTGATGCAACGTATCAATGATAACACTTTATGGAAGGCAGATGGGGCCAAAATCTTTTAACTGAACGGTGGAGTTTGATCGTGTCATCATGTCGCATTAACGCGACAGCATGCACAACAGCCAATAAAATTGCTGTATTTGAAACTATATTTGCATATGTGACACAATGGTACATTGGTATATATGTATACAAACATCAGACATCATGTTTATTCATGAAGGATGTTGTAATGGTAAAACATGCATGCATGCAAACATCAAATGTTATAGTATAACATGGCCAGAATGTGCATTTTGGCTGTAAAAAAAAAATGTGAATTTCGAATATTCGTCAAATTTAAAATAAAAGTCCACATTCAATTAAGGTGTGCATTAAGGAGGAAACCTTATCAGTGGCGCACAAGATGCGATGACGATGTACGTGTCGTTGCATTATAATGTTTTTGTTAGCCTATCCAGTTGAAGCCACTAGATGAGGTGCTGCTGAATTGTTAATTACAAATATTGCGGGAAAAGAAAACATCAATGCAGAGATGTTGTTTACGTCAAAACTCAAAATAAGCCGTTCACACAGAGCACATATTTTGCGCATTTTCTAGAGGGACATCTATCACCGTTGCACTCGCGTCTCGCACAAAAGAGCAAAAGAATGTAAAATGAATGTTCAACTTTGAAAAAGCATATCTCAAGACTTTATGGCGGGGTTTTTTCCCCATCCCACTGCAACCCGTGTTTTTAAATGAAAAATGTACTCTATGTTATTGGCTTTCGGCCCTTTGTATTAAATTATGCATACATACATGATGCTGTTTTTTTATAGTTGTTTAAGCAACTTAATTATAATCGGTTTATAAACATTATTTTAAACATTATGCACTTTTTTTCACAGATAGTTATGTTATCTTATGCTTTGAAGAAACGTGCATTAGTAATATTTTGCTAATTGTGGCCTCAGGAAAGAATCCAAAAGCTTTTCTTCACCCTAACTGAAATTATGCATTTTAAATTCGAAAATAATTTGAATTTTGATCATATTAAAGTACAAAAATTGAATGTAGTTTTTCAGCCATTTTGACAACCCTAATGTGCATGTCTACACATGCAAAAGAGATTCAAAATGGCCACGTTATTGTGGTCAAATTCCACCACACGTCCCACATGTTCCATTTAAAGACTTTTGGCCCTGTCTGCCTTCCACAACACTTACAGGTAACAAACATGCGCTTCAAGTCACATAAACAGCACAAAAATGTACAGTAGTTCAACACAGCGATGCAGATGCGATACTCCATCATAAGGCAGCAGCGGCACAATCAGAAAATGCACTAATCACATTACAAATACATTTAATGATGCATTCCTGTGGAGTTCGTATTTATGAGCTAGGAATCATAATTATGATGTCAGGTGTGTTCAAATCACTTGGCAATATGTTGATGATGTTTTCTATGAAAAACAACTCTACCAATGTTTCCCATACATAAGGAAGATTCTTGCCCAGGAAGACAACAATTTGAATACCACTTTATGTATTTTCTGACCCGTGTAAATTGCATTCTACAAAATTAAGAATAAAGAATTTGCATTGTTTATTTTTATTTTTTTTTATAATTTAGCTAAATTCCCAAGTTCTGTAAACTGAATTGTTAAATATTATATCATAAATGAACAATAAAATACAAGTATTTTGTACATTCAACATAATATATATATATATATAATATATTTTTTCTTTCTGTTTGTGTGTGTGTATATATATATATATATATATATTGTAACAACGCGTGGGGCTAACCGGAGCCAAGCTAGGCTATTATACTTTTGCTAAGCTAATTGCTAGCAGGGTACTAGCATCTATACGTCAAGACTTTTACTTTGGTTAGTGGTAAGTGTGAACACTCACATCCCATACACCGCACAACCCTGAGTGTCTCTGTGAGCAGAAGCACAGACAGGATAAACCAACAGGAAGCAGTACTGTCATATTTCTTCTTTTTTCTTAACACAGAATAAGATCTTTTTCAGGCAAGGCCATATAGCCAAGTCTCTCCCCTACACATCTCTCTCCATGACGGTGACAGCCACACTTTTTATAACAAGGCAGTAAATGAACCAAACCCACCCGAACTAACTTGAACATAAACACACATAACATTGCTAACACAAAAACCCAACCATCTTGCTTAATTAACACATAAATCAACTCTAAACAAATACCCATAATGCACCTGGCTGCTAGCGCTCACTGCTGGGTCATTACAATATATATATATATATAT